AGTTCTTGTCCCACGTTTTGACCTATACATTTTTTTTAGGAAAAAACCTCACCTTTATGATAAAATTTTTTTTTTAAAAATAAAAACTGTCCATTTGAAGAAAAAATGAAAATTTATTTTTTAATTTAATTTTTCAAGGTCAAACATTTTTTTTCTCTACATTTGTTTACACCATTAGAAAGTGTTGAAAAACAGCAGAAAAACCCAAAATAGAAAACGTATTTTCGTTTTGTTTTAAAGAAACTACAAATTTTTCAAATATTCCATGTTAGACCAAAAATTTAAACTTTGACCTCCTCCAGTTTTTATATTTGTTTAAATAAATTAATAATATTTGGTATTTTTAATTGTATCTAATAGGACTATTGTTTCTGCAAAATTTTTACCCGATCCCAAACATTTAAAATTTTGACCTGGGTCACTTAACGTGGAACCCGTCATATGCAGGTACCAAAACTACTAAACCAATTGCACAAATAATGAAAAGTCGGTAAGGTGAAACCGATTGAGCCCTTGAACAGGTAGGAAAATAAGGATAGCGACGTACAGAAGTATATTAAGAGAAAACCGAAATTTTAACTTTGTACTGCTACAAATTTCTCTTTACTATTTTAATGATCATTCTCTATATTTGAATTAGTTAAAAATAACTAATTTTCAGAAAAACATATCTGATTGTCAGTTAAAAATAACTGATATTTTAGTACACTCATTTAACTGATTCAATTATAATTAAATAAGAATTATTAATTAAGCTTAATGAGATTAATTAATGAGTAGCTCATAATATTAATTTTTTCATTATATACTATAAAATACCGAATATTTATTCATAATAATAATAATTTGTAATACACTGAAATATTGATAAAATTTGACCAATTTTTAGTTGTTTTTTACTGATAACCATTAATTTTGTCATTGACAATAAGTTAATTTTAACTGATTGCAGAAGTAAAATGTCAGTCATTTATTGTTAGTTAACCCAGTGATTTTTAACTGATTCAAATTTAGAAAGCACAATTAAAATATAATTGTTCTTGTCGTTTCACGAATATTTATATTTTATGACCCTTATAATGCAAAACATTTCCTTCTGTATGCTTTTTAAAATTACTTTACTAAACAGTTGGTTACTTAATGTATCTATTGGACTGAATTCAGATTTATAATTATTTAACCTAATATTCGAAAATATTTACTCGGAAACAAATCCCTGTATTTAAAATAAATTCTGTAATTATTACTCTACACAAGTAATTTATGCTTACAAATTAAAAACCGAGAAATCTGAAAATGTACTATATAAACAACTTTTGGGAATTTCCCAAACGTAGTATGAGCGCGTAAAGAACCCTGAACCGCAGGGGTTCTAACTATCTTTTCTTTCGGGTTTCAGTAAGTGAGAGAGAGAAAGAGAGTCTATTTGCTCTGCTTTTTGAATGCAATTTTTCTCTAAGCCCAGATTCTCAGACCTCCGAGATGGTCGAGCGGTTAAAGCGTTTTATCTTGCGTCCCCTACGTCACCAAAACCTGCGTTGCGATATATAGTTAGGTGCTCGAATCCCTGCGTTTAGGAATTTTCTTAATATAATTATAATCTACGACTTTAATAAAAAAAATGAAATACTGTGTTTAGGAGTGTGTATTTAAGTAGTTCTTCCAGCTTAAAATGAAAAAAAAATTGAAAAAAATTAAAAAATAAACAATTTAAAACATTTAAATTTAACTTAAATTTTGCTTTTTGTAATTTATTTAAAAACAATCTTATTCATTTGAAAAATGCCTATTTTATTAATTGCAAAAGATGAAAATATTATTATTGTATTTAAATTAAATATATTTTCAACTAAAAACACAAATTTTACAAAAAGCAAAGCTATTATAATTAACAGCAAAGCAATGACCAGAAAAAAGCAAGAACCCACGCTAGGTACTGTCGAACGCCTTGTTACCATAGAACAACAGAGAAAATCAAATCTGGTTATATACACGTTTCAGACATGTTCCACGTTTCAAACCAGCTTTGGCACAGACTTGGTTACCAGATCTGGCCCAGATCTAACCAGATCAGTTACAGACCTGATCCAGACTTCAATTGCTACCCGGGTTATGAAAAAATTAAAAAAATTACATAAGAAACAAATATAAATTTCTTACCCTAAGTATAAATATTTTATGTAAAAAATAGTAACAATTAATTGTTTAAACAATGTTTTAATAAATAATTGTTTTTTTATCATCAGTAGATGTATTACTCACGAAAAATTGCACAATTCAGAAAAAATATAAATTTTTAACCCACAGTACCGTTTATAACAAAATAATAACTTTTTATTGTATAACAATTTTTAACTAAATAATTTTTTATTTTTTATCAATCAAACATTATTTTAATAGGTTTTTTAAATAGTTTTTTTAATCAATAAAACTAAGGAAAATATATTTTACGATTTTTGATTATTTTAATACTTATTGTTATTTAAAAAATGTATAAAAACAAAAATTCAAAAATAAGGCTCGAGAGATCGATAGAGAATTTAATTACGAAGATTTAGAAAAAAAAGAAAAAGCGTTTTGGTAAAGAATTGTGACCTGTAGAGTGATTTGAAACGAAACTTGCGCCGCCATAAGTGAATACATGCACAAGTCCCAGCACGCCGCGCTTGACACTTTATTTTTTTTCTCGTAAAGTTATTGTTGTCCCATAATTAAATTTACAGGAAGTATTCTTTACTTTATTGACAATATTTACCAAAAAAAAAAATTTCAAATCGAAGATATATTTTTTTCAAAATTTTAATTCAAAAAATTTTTTGAAATTTTTTTCGAGCAAAAAAAATTTTTTTTTAAATTTTTATTTTTTTCTTTAAAGTACTTCTTATTATGAGTATTTTCCAAAAAAAATTATCTTAATCGGTTAACAAGAAAAAAAGTTATGTGCCTTTTTTGAAAAACCGACCAAAATTTTGAGTAAGAGGTAACTCAAAAAATTTTGAAAATTTTGAAAAAACTTTTATACACTTTTATTCCATGTATAAAAAGGAACAAATTCTGAAAGTATTTTTAATATTGCTAAAATCATCGAAAATTCTTATGATCACTTGGCGTGGAATTGCTCTTTAATGAAACGGCGTAGCTTCCGGCATGCCCCACACTTAGGTACCCCATTCTGCCCCACACTGCATATTAAAACAAAATGCAATGTTTACAAGTTATTGTAAACAATTAAACAATCTATTCTATTGAAAATTACTCTAGAATAAGTACTGAAAAAGATCCCACACTTGCCAAATTAAATGCATTATCCCAAAAAGTTTGGAGAGCACTTTAATTTTGAAAAAAATTCATATTTTTTTTGCTTAAAACTTAAAAGTTGTATAACTTTCAAAAAAAAATTTTCTTTGGAGTGTCTTCATAATTAATAACAGTTTCTTATCAACATTAATGATATATGTCGAGGAAAAAAAATTAAAAGTAAAAAATCAGTACTGGACAGCGTTACCAGCCAGGAATTTCCCAGTACTGATTTAGTACTGGAGTCAGTACTGCTTTACTGGCAGTCAGTACTATGCCAGTATTTCATTTCTACTTGGGCTACTTAGCATCTAAGATGTCGAATAGACCACTCGTCTTTTGCGAATGAGAAGCCGAATTCTGCGCGGTAAACGTCTAATAGACATCAATTTCGACGTCTATATTGTAACAAATTATTCTTTTACTTTAAATTTTAACAAAACGAAATTAATTAATTATTAAAAATCATAGAAATTGTTATAAAATAAATTATTAAATTGTTCAAAAATATAAATTATAGTTAAAATAAAAGATCACAAATTATTCGATTATCGTCAAATTTAATATATGATTAAAACAATCAAGTCAATATTAAATTTACATAAACAAGACACATATACATAGATATCAAATCGATTATAGTTTCAACAAAAAATAAACAAAATGGAATTATCAATTATACAAAAATGGAATCGATCAAATAGCAATTATCAACAAACGCCCTAGAACCGACGGATCATTAAACTTTTTTGCACACACACATTTATATTCAAATTTGGATACTAAGCGAATTTTTATACTGCCGTTTTCGTCTCCTCCCAGCCAACTCATGCATATATCTCATCCACTGGATCCAATTTCTTGCAAGATAAGATCCCAGATCTATATTGGCCGATAGGATTCTTCAAATGCCAGGATCTCAAGGATGCAGAATTGCCGTGTGGGTAATGTGTGAGATTAAATGTTGTGTCACCTTGTTTTATTACAAATCCGCCCACTTATTATTCGCCACACTAATCAATATAAACCAAAGAAATATAGATATATATATAAATATTAGGATTAAAACTTCGCGAATGCACTGGTTCTTTTTTATTTTTGCATACCATCAGCGTCCTCGGCAGGCACTTGAAGCGTGGCGCGGACACAGCCGTTCGGTTCTCAGGGCGACGATCAATTAAAGTCTTGATCACCGCTTCCGTGAACCGACGCTGATTTCCCGCTAATTTGCCCGCTTTTCTTTCACACGTGGTGAGGCGTGCCGAACCGAGAACCCTGATAGGTCCCAAATTCGTCAGATTTTATATAGTCTCGACACCAGACCTCACTCCACACATCCCCGAGCTCCGGCAACCCCAGATGCATGCTGACCAGGAGGAAAGTCAATCGTTTCAATATAGATCTCGATTTAGATTCCACATAGATTTTTAGTCTAAGGCGAACCTTCTATTGAAGAATTGTATTATTTTCAGTACTTAATTTAACCTTTTACCTGCGGGAAAATTTCAAAACAAATTTACCTGCACAAAATTTAGAATTTATATATAAATTTATTGGATATATCAGGTAGAGTCCCCGACCTGACATCTGGTCGATAAATCGACCATCCCCGCAGCTTAAACTATGCAGTACATTTTATACCGCTTTATTCACTAAAATTGAAATCCTTGCTCTCAAACTTATTTTGCACTTTGCAATTTCAGGTAACTTATATTATAGATAATGCAGTAGAGGAAGAATGTAAAGGCTCAATCTGGACCCCGTTAAAAGTGTGGCCATGTAATCAAGATGAAAAACTCAGTACACATACAGTACAAAGTGATTTTAGCTCATTAACATTTATGGGAAGATTAGCACAAGAATTAATACGAATCACTGATCCTAAGTGAGTTTTCAAACTTTTTTTGCTTTTGTAAATATATAGATTATTTTTATTTATTTCGACATAAAATTTACTAGGACTTAATTATTATAAAAACTGTTTCTAGTGGCTTAAAAACCACTTGGGAGTTTTTCTAAACACTGGCCACATACGGAGAAACTTTTTATACCACTATTTCATAAAATTGATTTGGCAGTTTAGTATGATACTGTTTCATTGTACGGAAAAATGACTTAGGTTATAGAATTTGCTATTGAGACTATCAAATATACGCATTTAGTATAAATTTTACAGTTTTTCATAATTTGAAAATAAAACTATACAAAACATCTTAAACAATCTTAGAAGACAACTTTGTCTTTTTGGCTGTCTTTATAATACTATTTTCATTTCACATTAGAAATCTTGTTCAACCTCGTAGAATATTTTATGATTATTTTCACTTATAGGAACCTTGTACACCGAAAGAAATGTCTAGGACTGGTATACCAGGAATTGACTAGGATTGTTAGTTACGAGAGAACCCCACTATTGAGTCCCAGTCAAAGCAATAAGATTCAAGCTTAGTTAAAGTGACCTGGAAAAATAGTCAAATTGACTAGGATAATAATATTAGATTTAGGGTCAGTTTCACCAACACCGATTAAAAGTTGATCAATGATTAAATCCTTAATCGTCCAATCATGAGCGGTTAAATCGACTTTAATCATTGATTGACTTTTAATAGGAGTTGGTAAAACTGGCCCTTAGGGCTCGTAAAATGACTAAATATCCTAGTTAATTTGACCAGGATTTGCAAGGTTGTTTTTACAAAGCTTGGATTAATTTTACTAGGTTAAGATTAACTATAGCTTTATAAATAATAATAATAATAATAATAATAATAATAATAATAATAATAATAATAATAATAATAATAGTAATAATAATAATAATAATAATAACATAGAGATTTTTATGTGTGTAGAAAACGTTAGAAACCCTCTTTATTATTATTTTTACAAACTATTAAGAACTAGAGGTGTGCAAAAAGCTCGAAAAGCCGAGCCGAGCCGGGCCGCAATTTTTTCGAGTCGAGCCGAGCCCGAGCCGGGCTCGATGTATCGGGTACCCGAAATTTTCGAGTACCCGAAACATTCGGGTACCCGAAATGTAGAATTTTGATGTTTAATGTAGAAAATTTTGGATTTTCTCAAGGGCTCGAATCAAATCGAGTACTCGAAAATTTCGAGTACCCGAAAGTTTCGGGTACCCGATAAATTCGAGTACCCGAAATTATTCGAGCTTTTTATAAAGCTCGGCTCGGCCCGAGCTCGGCTCGAGCTCGAAAAATGAAAAGCTCGAAAATACCCGCTCGAGCTTCGGGTTTCGAGCTTTTTGCACACCTCTATTAAGAACCCATTAAAACCTCGTAAATTCTTCATTTCCATAAAAAGTTATTAGAATAATAGTAGAACCTAGTATACTTTCCAGTGTTTTCTAATGTTTTCAATGAGGCCTTTTTTACCAGGGTAGCTAACTGCAACACATTTCAGTCCTCTAGTCTGACTAGGGTCCAGTTCGAACTCGAACTGGATTTTCCAAAAGGGAAAGTAGACACACAGGTTAGAACCCATTGTACCAAACTCCAGCACGCTAGTTTACTGCAACTCAATTAAAGTCCTGTTCTTCTTCAGAAGTCCAATATCTCTTTTATCGATAAGTTAGTCACCTGCTCAGGGTCAATAATTGCTTGACCCCAGCTAGAAAGTCTTATCCTAACCGACGCTGATTATTCAGAGGATATGTGAGCCGCAGATTCATTGCGCGTCTCACATAATCTGCACATTAGGGTGTCCGTTATTTCCCAAGTTAGCTATTTTCATTTGCTTTTCCCATTTAATTGACATGGGATTTTTGCACTTTTTAGAAAATAATTTTTATTTCGTTTATAATACTCTTTGACTAACCAACAATGCTTGATTTTGCTTTTATTGTGATTCCTTTAGATAGAGAAATTTTCATTTTATCGCGAAAAATTTATTACACAAGTTTTAAAAAGGTCAATTTCATTTTTATTGATTTTTCTGATTATTTTGCTAAATCTACTTATTAATTAATTTTTATTCAGTATTTCATTGAAAGTTTCTTGTTTTATGCATCCAATTGGACCATAACAATAACACAAGTCAACATGAAATTTGCGCCTGACATTTAAGATATTTTTTATGATAGATTTATCGACAGATATGAGGAAAAAAATTATATTTTATCAAAAAGTTTGCTTTTGTATATAGGAGAACGTTTTTACCATATTTTTGAAAATTTACCCTGCTAAAAATAAAATCAGGAATAATGAAAAAACGTCAGAAATTTTAATGTTTTGTGACTACTTTGACGTTTTTTGAAGCTTTTGGTTAATTCTGACTACAGGGTTTTTTATGCTCCTACTGTTGAATACTGATGTTTATGGATTGTGATTATTTCTCATTGAATTCATTTTTTTAATTTACAGTCCCCCACCGAAAGATAGTTGGTAAATGTAAAGTACCATAAAAACTTCAAATTTGTGCGTAGGCCTTTTTTCACAATAGAATTTTGGGTCTATTGTTACGTGCTTCGGGTCTTCAACCTGATTTTTATTGCTCAAAAGTTTTGCAATTTTAACATTTCAGGTGAAATGAATATAAATTCAGAATCTAGAAATCTTCACGATTGCAAATATCTAAAATTTATTTTGAAAAACATTTTTTTAAGAAAACTGTAACGTATCTCGAAAACCGTAATTGATAAATAAAAACTGATATCATTTTTGAATTTAAGTTCTAAAGGATATATTATTGTTTATATAACAAGAACATATTGTGAGAAGAATTCTAAGTCGATGAAAAACAAGTATAATGTTTAAATAAATATAAACATAAACAAATAAAAAGATTTCCCTTCAATTTTATGACGGTCAGTTGACCTTTTTCCAGGTAAAAGAGGGTGTCGACTTTGTATAAAAAACCTGACTACTTTTGAAGCTTTCTGGTGAAAAATGACACAAGCCTGACGTTATGTGGCTGCAATCGTAACAAATGCAGTCTCAGAACGTCAGAAATTCTGATGATTTTTTTGTCGTTTTGTGACTTTATTTTTAGTAGGGTATGATTTTCTGAATGAAATGGTCAATCAAAAATCTGTAAAGTACGTAATAAAACGTACTTTACAGATTTTTGATTGACCATTTCATGAGTATTGCATGAGTATGGATGTGCAAAATAAATATATTTTTTAAATTTTATTAAAAAATGGTGGCTGTGCAGCATTTCATTAGAAAGCGTCTCGTTTCAGGCTTCCATGTCCAGACAACTAACGTCCTTAATTTTTGATCTGGAAAAAAACGAAAATGTTGTCATTTTCTATACATCAACAGCTATCGACACACGAAGGTTTTTTTATATTACTTACTTTTATTTTTATCAACAATTTTTAGAATTTTTTTTTTTTTGAAAATTGTCATTTTTTTGTTCAATCACGCACCATTTTGCAATAAATCAAAATATCGAAAAAATCCTACGTGTATCGATAGCTATTGATGTATAGAAAATGACAACATTTTGGTTTTTTTAAAATTAAAAAGTGAGGACGTTAGTAAGTTGTTCGGCCATGGAACCCTAAAAAAACAGACGTCTTCCAATAAAATGCTGCAACGCAGCCATTTTGTAATGAAATTTTTTTGAAAAAATATAGTTTGCATTTCAATACTCATGGAATAAAACGTACTTTACAGATTTTTAATTGGCCATTTCATTGAGCCAAAAAAAAATTCCTAAAATATGCCTAATTTTCGTGATTTTTCCCCTTAACATGTTTGCAACTACTACAAAAGCAAACTTTAAAAAGAATGTGTATATTTTTTCTTTATTTTAGTGAATAATAAATAGAAAAATCATTATATAAACCCAGGCGCAAAATTTTTTCGTTTTTTTGTTAAGCTGTGTAATTTCTTGTTTTGCTTGTCATTTTTTTTCTTTTGACTATAATTTAATTTTCTTTCTTGGATCTTGTAGATGGTCTTGTCCTCTTCACAATTCAGTTCGAAATTTGAAAAATATTTAAAATGATAAAAATAGGGGATGATTTTCTGAAAATAAATAAGATCAATTTTCTCAAAAACACCACCTTTTTTTGTTATCAAATTTTTACTACAAATTCTTAAAATAATTATGAACATTTCCTATGAATTTTAAGCGGGCTAACCTATTCTGTCAATCAAGAGAATCTTTTTTTAAATATTTATTTTTGCAAATTTTTAAATTGTTAACTTGCATTTTTAAAAACAAATGAATCGTTATAACATTGTTGACGTGAACGTTAACAATTTGAAAATTTGTAAAAATAAATTTTTCAAAAAAAAATTCTCCTGATTGCCAGAATGGTTTAGCCATTCATAGGAAATGTTCATAATTATTTTAAGAATTTGTAGTAAAAATTTGATAACAAAAAAAGGTGGTGTTTTTGAGAAAATTGGTCTTATTTATTTTCAGAAAATCATCCCCTATTTTTATCATTTTAAATATTTTTCAAATTTCGAACTGGATTGTGAAGAGGACAAGACCATCTACAAGACCCAAGAAAGAAAATTAAATTATACTCAAAAGAAAAAAAATGACAAGCAAAACAATTTTTTCTCTGTAACATGAAGTTAGTCGACCTGCCTGATATGAAATGGATTTAGTAAACTGTGTGATTCTTGGACAGTTTATGAATTGAAATTATTGTTATGGTCCAATTGGATGCATAAAACAAGAAACTTTCAATGAAATACTAAATAAAAATTAATCAATATGTAGATTTAGCAAAATAATCAGAAAAATCAATAAAAATGAAATTGACCTTTTTAAAACTTGTGTAGTAAATTTTTCGCGATAATATGAAAATTTCTCTATTTAAAGGAATAATAATAGAAGCAAAATCAAGCCTTGTTGGTTAGTCAAAGAATATTATAAACGAAATTAAAATTATTTTTAAAAAGTGCAAAAATCCCATGTTAATTAAATGGGAAAAGTATTGTTATTTAGGCAGGGTTAAACGGCATCGTACAATTTTTTTCTAGTTTCTAGAATTGTTTTTAGGTCAAAAAGAAACGATTTCGACGATACCCAAATGAAAATAGCTAACTTGGGAAATAACGGACACCCTTTTGCACATAGTTGAAACTAGTCATCCTATTTTTGCTGATGGTTGTTCAATAGCCCATGACCCGTAAGGAAACGAATTACGGTTCTAACGTATATTCCCGATCTTTCGATTCCATTCTAAATGTAATGAGACTGTGGTCCGAGAAAGAGTCTTCATCAGACATTACTATTCGCGAGAAAATGATAGGCCCCTGAAAAATGTTCGAATTTGACTTGAAATATCTCTGTTAAAAAAATTATTTGAAAAAATTGAGAAATATTTTTGGAAAGCGTGGAATCTTATATGTTTGTATACGAGAGGCCAATATTGGAAAAAAAATTCTGCACCGTACAGGTGCAAAATTACATCACAGTGTACCACATTTTTCGACATTTTTAAAAATGGTCGACTTTGGTACAAGATTTTACACGGAAGCGATTATTCAAAAAATTCGAAAAAAGAACTATTTATTTACTGAATCTGTCCAAACGAATTTGCTTTATAATTATTAAAAAATCTTAATTATTATCGTATTTATTAACAATAATAGGAGACAATGTTATCTCTGGTTCTAATAGTCTAATTGAAATAAATTAAATGTATAGCCTATGTGAAAAAAATTCTAAGCTTTGTTCTGAGTCCACATTTTGGAGAAGTTCGTAGTATTATTTATGACAGGGTTAAGATTTTGTCGAAAAAAATTGGGTTTTCGCAACCGTTTTACACTTGTTCTCAAGAAAAAAAAACTGTCAAAATAAATGTTGAAAAATGTAATTAATAGAAGAATTTCGTTTTTCTTAATCAGCTAAGATAATAAGAAGATTAATTATTTACAACTTCCAATTTAATTAATTTCAATTAGACTATTAGAACCAGAGATAACATTGTCTCCTATTATTGTTAATAAATACAATAATAATTAAGATTTTTTAATAATTATAAAGCAAATTCGTTTGGACAGATTCAGTTAATAAATAGTTCTTTTTCGAATTTTTTGAATAATCGCTTCCGTGTAAAATCTTGTACCAAAGTCGACCATTTTTAAAAATGTCGAAAAATGGGGTACACTGTGATGTAATTTTGCACCTGTACGGTGCAGAAATTTTTTTCCAATATTGGCCTCTCGTACACAAACATATAAGATTCCACGCTTTCCAAAAATATTTCTCATTTTTTTCAAACCATTTTTTTAACAGAGATATTTCAAGTCAAATTCGAACATTTTTCAGGGGCCTATCATTTTCTCGCGGATAGTAGGTCCCTTTATCTTTTTCTTTGGCAATCTTTGGGCAGGGGAAGTTTTCTGCTGGAAAAAGTCCATCAAGCAAACCTCTCACCAACGGCAAGGTCTTCAAACCCCTACTATCGGTGTAAAATGTAAAGTCAGTTGGCTTTGACCGCTTATATCTTGAGTTATAAAAATCGCATAATATTAAAACAACTTTGAATCAGTAGCTACAACATTCCTACGTTACTGTAGAAAATGAAGGAAATACAAAAAAATTATTTCGAGAGTTTTTAATTTTTGAAGGGAAAAAGAACATGTTTTTTGGCATCATTTTCACAGGGTCTACTTTGGTAACATGTAACTCGTTTAATAAGAGTCCTATGATGTTCCTGATTTTTTTCTATGTTCCTTAAATCTTTCTGAATAATGTTATTTAAACAAATAACCGTTATTATAATAACTTTTTGAGATATTTAAACGAAATAGTAGTCATGTTATCTTTGTTGGAAATTAAGGTACGAAGATGAGGCAAAGTACACGTTACGGAGAATACGACACTTATTACGATTCATCAACAAAAGTTTGGAAAGAAAATTATTTCAAGAAGTTATTTGCAAAACTATTTTCAGTTTTTTGCTTTACTGCACCATTAGCGGTAAGGTGCACACAATCATAAACCATTTCTCATAGGCGTCAACATTTTAAATGCGATAAACTGTATTATTGTAGACATGAGCAGGTAAGTGAGGACTTCAGGTCACTTCTACCCAAACCTACATAAAATTTTGAATTTCTTAAGACAGGAAAAATATTTTGGGTGTTTACACCTTTGTACATCCTTAGAAACCAGATCTTTAAAGTTATAAATCAGTTCCAACCACAGAAAAAAATGACCAAAAAAAGGTAGTAGTGCTAAACTTGGAGTTTCGGACAAAAAGACTTACAGTAGTATGCACCTGACTGCTAATGGTGCAATAAAGCAAAAAACTGAAAATACTTTTGCAAATAATTACTTAAAATAATTTTTTTCCAAAATTTCTTTGGCGAATCGTAAGCAGTGTCGTATTTTCCGTAACGTATGCTTTGTCTCATCTTCGTACCTTAATTTCTAACAAAGATAACACAACTACGGTTTCGTTTAATAATCTCAAAAAGTTATTATAATAACGGTTATTTGTTTAAATAACATTATTCAGAAAGATTTAAGGAACATAGAAAAAAATCAGGAATATCATAGGACTCTCATTAAACGAGTTACATGTTACCAAAGTAGGTGAAAATAGTGTCAAAAAACATGTTCTTTTTCCCTTCAAAAATTAATAACTTTAAGAAAAAAATTTTTATTTGTTTTTAATTTTTTACATTAATGTAGAAATAAATTACTTACTGATTCCATACAGTTTCAATATTGTGCGATTTTTTTATTCAAGTTACAATCCTTCAAAGTCAACTGACTATACTTTTTGAACCGATAGTAGGGAGGGTGCTTTGAGCTATAAGCGATTCTTATATTCTTCAAGGAGACCTGAGGCTGCAATCCTATATGATCATAAAGCGTAAACCAAAAGCAGAAAATCTATAAGGTAGTGCTATAGAGGTAGTGCTATCTGACTGTTTTAGGCTTTCTGCTCACATGGGACCGAACCCTTAAGCCATAAGCGAGTCTTGATCATTGAGAAAGTCTTAAGGCATAAGAGAGCCTTGGACTCCATCCATAAACCATATTTGCTATGAAAAGTTTCAATCATTATCAACTTAAAATTTAGTTTTAAATTGATAAAAAAATATTAAATAATTGGTTTCAGAACAACTGTTTACATTGAACACACTCTAGCGTGGTATGATTTAAAAAGTCAAACTGAGGTTATTGATTATAAAGTATTTTCTATGATATTAAAGTCCATGGGTACTCCAGGATTGTCAAGATTAGATAAAATGATAACATTTTATGTAACTGTTGAATTGGAAAATTTAGTACATTATGTTAATCAAGGTATTAAATCCAAGACTTGGAAAACAATGCTTAAAGAATGTGAAGTAATTTCGCAAAATGTGGATTCAAAAAGTGAGTATGAAACTAATTAATTACAAAAAACACTGAGAAAAATTGCGTTTAACCGAGTGGTAGAAATAGCTCGGTTAAAAAAAAGTATTTAAAAATAAATAAGATATGGTTAAAAGAAACTAAGTTATACTGATTATCACAACCGGGCTGAGATGGTTAAAACACATCTGTTAAAAATAAACCTCCAAAGGATTATCTTAACCAATCTGAAATGTGCATAATGGAAACAAACTTTCGTGGTTGTTGTTACCTATCTGTTTTTTGAATATAAACTATTACTATGCGATTAATATTAACTGAGTTTCATGTAATTACGTTGAGTTGTGAGGTTGAGTCCACAATAGGCACTTTTCTTAAAGCGATGCATACCCTCTACATCGATTTCTATTGTTCGAACAATGGAAATCGATGTAGAGGGTATGCATCGCTTTAAGAAAAGTGCCTATTGTGGACTCAACCTGAGATTTTAACCGAGTAAACATATCTAGGCGACATATCGTCAGTCACAGTCAGTCAGTCAGTCACTTCGTTTCGTCTTTTCCGGAGAGTCGTGTTGTTACAATTCTGGTTTCTACCGACGCGATACAAATTTTTATTCATTATGTTACAGCAGCCATCAAATATAGAATTCATCTACAATAGATACATAGAAATAAAAATAAAACGGAGAATATTTAACGCATTAAACCTTTCATCCCCGATGACATATTACACGATGCACGTTAAAGAGGTTAAAAGTATTTTATTCTATTTGAAAAAGATTTGTTTGATTATAAAAAAGAATTTTAATTTACAGAAAATTTTGGTTATCTTTAAATTAGAACATAATTTTTTAATCAAATAGATTTCTTTCCAATAAAAGAAAATAATTTTTATCAAGGGAATATTTTATTAATCAAAAAATATTTTAATCGAGTTGGGTGGTTTAAAATTAATTAATCGGTTTCTTTATTATAACAGAGCTAATTGACTACAATATTCAAGTTCATATATTATTACTGTAGCCTTTTTAGGTGGCTACAGTAACCGAGTAAGTTAACTAACGTTTACGGAGCATTAATTATAAACTGTTAGTTACAGTAACAGAGAAAGAAGCTACCGTAACCGAGTAGTCTTAACTAGTTTCTACCGAAATTTTTAATCGTCTTTGATCGGTTACTGCAGACAATTCACATTGCAAGTGCTATATTAGCAGCATCGCTCGGTTGTTTTTAACTAAAACTTGGTTATATTTAACCTTTTACTTTTCTCAGTGTATATACATTTTTAAATAGACAATCTTTTATTGTTAGATATCACGATTTGCGTTAAATGAATATATGTATCATAGAATACTATGTATTATAGTCAACTCTATCAATAGTGCTGCAAAATTGCACAGCGTTTGCAACTTTTCTTAGAACTGCAGTACCCCCACTTTTAGCATATTCCTTCTCTTGGGGTAACTCGAAATTCCAAACTCGAGCTAAAAAAAACATCGATTCCTTTGAATCGATTCTCAAAAGTTATCGATAGCTAGGCATCGATTAATTGAGAAAAGAATCAAGTACAGACAAATTTAGCAAAATATTCATCTACAAACTTCAAGGCGCAAAAAGCTTCAAGAAAATTATGAATTCCCTGCCGAAAGAATGGACTGAAAAAGTACTGAAATTGTACTGGCCTCCAGTACAATTTCAGTCCGTTTTTTTTAATGTTTCGGTAGATATTTTTAAAGTCCTTTAACAATAGTATCAAATGTAGGTTATGTCAACAAACCATTGTTAACAGTCCGGAAGTGAAAATAAAAAAAGGTTAACAAAATTTTCAACGAAATTCCCGTTAAATTTTAAACTTATATTGCAACCCCTGCTTTAAGGGGTTACATGGGTCAAAACGACTTGAAAACGTATGTTTCTTTAATAAATTTTTTTTCATAAAATAAATAAATTTTTCTATTTGAACATTTTGGTATCTGAAAGTACACTATTAAATGAGAAAGATATTAAATTTAAAAAAAAAATTAAAAATCAGGCTCGTAGCAACAGTTCTTCGGGCCCCTTTAAAAAAAATTGCTTTTGCGGTGGTCAAGATATCTTTTGACTGCTTTATCTAAAATCAAAATACAAAAAATTTGCTGTTAGTGGGTGAATATATCTCATGATTGAACGAAGGGTTTTCAAAGAAATTGAAATTTGGATGTTTGACAGTGTCTTTTATCAAAAGTTAAAATTTTTAGAACCATTAAGACCATGTAAAATCAGTTCTAATCAATAAAAAAAATATTCCTTCGTTCAATCACGAGCTATACTCATCCACTAACAGAAAATATTTGGTTTTTTGATTTTCAATGAACCGGTCAGAAGATATCGTGACCACCGCTTTTTTGGAAGGGTTCTCAAAGAACCTGTAGGTACGGCCCTGATTTTAAATATTTTTTAACGAAATTTTTACAAGTTACTCTTTTAGTAGTGTACTTTAAGATATAAAAACACTCAAATAAAAAAATTTATTATTTATTTTATGAAAAAAAAAATAATTAAACAATCATACATTGTCTGGACGTTTTGACCCATGTAACCCCTTAACAATAGACTCGAAAGCCTATTGTTGTATGGGATTATAATTGTATGGCTTAAAAAGTTTACAATTTAAATAATTAAATTTTCAAAACAAAAAAATTTAAATCTGTGATGTTTTATGATTACAAATATCTAAAATTCATTATAAAAAATGTTTAATTAAAAAAGTTATAAACTATCTCGCAAACTCTAATTGTTACGTAAAAACAGATATTATTTTTGAATTTAGATTAACATGAATATTTAGCATACGTAATAATTACTTGTAAAGAATCTGAGTTCATGAAAAACAAATATAATGTTGAAATATAAATAAAAATTATTTTTAACATTAACAGAGAAATATTCGTCCTTCAACTTAATGACGGTCAGGCCATAAACAACACCGATAGCGACCCTTTTGCAGGTAATTTTTCCCAGTACAATTTTAGTGCTGAAACGCAGCAAATTTTCACTGAAATAGCACTGAGCTCTCAGTACTAATTCCCCAGTACAATTTCAGTCCATTCTTCCGGCAGGGTTTAGTGTCCGGGCAAAAAATAATTTAAAAAATGATACTACAACTAAGAAGTTTGCAATGGCAACGGACTACTTCGCAATGACAACCAATATTAGTAAAAATTTGAGTTAGTTCGCTTTCATATAGCGAACCATTTTGATATGACAGCGAACTTGTTAGCTGTGTTCCAATTTCAACTAACCAAGTTTTTATGCGTGAAAGGTTATTTTAAAATTTGAGTGACTATGACAATTTTGGCTTGAGATTCGGATTTATTTATTATTTTAGAAAAATTCTTTACCGGTCATAAATTCGGATTGTTGCGGACTAATTACGGACTGAATTCGTAGTCATTCAGGATTCCTCCAGAGTGTTTTCGGATTCATGTTTTCGTTCGGATTAATATCAGACTAACGCGGTTCATTTTTTGACCTTCTCGTACAATTTTCTGACTAATCCGTAATAATTTGTCCGTATTCAATCCGGAATTAGTCCGAAATTTTTACCAGGGAAATTTAACATACCTATAAAAAATTATGAAACCAATTTTGTAATAAAATTATGAAACCAATTTTGTAATGGGTCAAACCATTTTATTTCGCCTAATGTATTTTTGATCTTTATAAAAAATTTCAATATTTCGGGAAAATATTCTTATATGTTTTGGGATTACGAAATGCACAATGATTTGTAAAAAATAATTTCATTTCATATAAAAAAAGATATTATAAATTGAGAGTACATGAAAAAAGGTTACATTGACAGGCATTACAAAATATTTAAAAAAGGAGTAATCTCTTTAAGAAATATAAAAAAAGCGATTGATATTTATTTTTAAAGACTTAATTTGTGATTTGAACTTGATAAAAGTATCAAATAATTTATAATAAACTGTAAAATATGTTATTTAAGTTTCTGTATGAAATGGCAAAAATCGATCATATTTAATAATTTTTTTTGACAAAGTAATTTAATTTTCGTAAATCAGAATTATTTAAATAATAAGTATTTTAAATACACTTTATTATTATTTAAATACTTTTTTGATTATCAACTGAGAAATATAAAAAAATTTACCTTAAAAATCAACCATTCTTCATTTTATCGGGATTTTGAATGTTTGTAACTTCGTTGGAGAAAAACCGATTTATGCCAAATTTTTGGAGCACGTAGATTGAAGCAATATCTTCCTGCTACTAAAATTTCGCGATGGGTTTTGCACTAGTTTTCAAAAGAAATTGATTTTAAAAAATTGTTTATTTTGAAGGTTAATGACAAGTATTATAGCTGACTTGAAGTTGGTTTGTTTTAAACTGACTTTAAAAAAATCGTTTTATTTTGAATTTGACTTTTATTGCAAGTAGCAAACCAACTTCAAGTTAGTTATAATACTTGTCTGTAACCTTCAAAATAAACAATTTTTTTAAATCAATTTCTTTTGAAAACTAGTGCAAAACCCATCGCGAAATTTTAGTAGCAGGAAGATATTGCTTCAATCAACATGCTCAAAAAATTTGGCATAAATCGGGTTTTCTCCAACGAAGTTACAAACATTCAAAATCCCGATAAAATGAAGAATGGTTCATTTTTAAGGTAAATTTTTTTATATTTCTCAGTTGATAATCAAAAAAGTATTTAAATAATAATAAAGTGTATTTAAAATACTTATTATTTAAATAATTCTGATTTACGAAAATTAAATTACTTTGTCAAAAAAAATTATTAAATATGATCGATTTTTGACATTTCATACAGAAACTTAAATAACATATTTTACAGTTTATTGTAAATTATTTGATACTTTTATCAAGTTCAAATCACAAATTAAGTCTTTAAAAATTAAATTTAATTAAATTTTAATTTTTAATTTTTTAATTTTTTAATTTTTAATCAATCGCTTTTTTTATATTTCTTAAAGAGATTACACCTTTTTTAAATAT